CGCGTGCGCGGACGTGTTCGGCCTTTCACGTCCGGGAAGTGTGGTTCTGTGTTCGTTGTCGCGTCTTCTGTCCTGAGTGGTCTTTGGGACAGCTTTTGGGCTTAGATAAAATGCCGGAGATTCAAGAGTCTTGTAGTGGGAGGTCTAGGTCAGCTTCGGAAGCCCGCGGGGTGGGGAGCCTGAGCCGCCTCGGGCGTTCCTCACGTCGCGCGGCGGCCACGTGCGGCCCGGGGCGCTGAGTCCCAGGCCCCGCGCTGGTGGGCTCTGGGCCCGCGGGCAAAGGTTCAGAGTATCGGCCGAGTCCGGCAAGGTCAGCAGTTCCGCTGTCGGTGCCATGTGGCCATCGGGAACCCCCTTCGCCACTGTGAAATCGTAACACCGCAGGCAGACACCCGCCAGTTTGATCCACGTGGTGAGTAGCAGCTGTGCTTGTTGATAGTTCTGTCTGGCATTGTGAACCTCCATGTATCTTTGGGACCTGTCAACTGTGGCAGTCTCCCTTCCTAGCCATGGAAGAGCATATTCTTGTTTATTGGCAAAGCTGTCACCATTTAATTGGTATCAGATTCTGACTTGCACAAGTAACATTCTTTACTTTTAAAAACCTAGAGGGTGCTGGGTTATTGGGCAAAGGACTGTTTTTCAAATGTTTCCAGGAAGCTGAACTAAATGTTCTGATGGATGATGAAAAACATAACAAGGTATGTTCCTTTGTGTTCATATTTCAGTTAATTTTAGGGCTAAGGAATTGGAAGGCCAAAGTGGGCCCCATTTGCTAGCGTTTTGTAATTCGAAAGAGTAAATAGCCAACTGAATAGGAAGTAACTGAAACAGCCGCTAAGATCTCAAGCTCAGTTAACACAGATCAGAGTTTTACAAAGCTGTTCTTCTCTTGCAGGGATCAAGAGGTCCAAAGTGACGTGGGTGAAGTATTTAGCATCCTGCACTGCACTGAACAAACATGTTCAGCGTCAACAGCTTTGGGATTGAGTGGCAAATGATCTGGAAACTCGCACTATTTTCAATCTTGTATGTTATTTTTTTTTAGTATGATATTTAAGAGAGTGCTTCCTTGTTAAATAAAATGCTTGATTCATCTGGATAATGAATGATCTCTGATGGGTTAATGGGGGAAGGTAGTTATGGAGGCCGTATGGATGAGTGCTATAAAGTATTAGAGCATTTGGGGAAAACGGATTCATAAAAACCAAGTAACCCCTAAGGGAGAAAATAGTCATTTTATATACCACCAGACAAGATTAAAGCAACTAATTATACAAGGTGAAAAGCTATGCTCTTTATTTACACAAATGCACACTGAACATGAGTGTTTTATAAAAGTCACACTTAGGTATAATAAAGGCATATTTTGTGAGCCACATATTCTACTTGAAGGTTGAGCAAACTATGCCACCTGTTAACTCTTAAGTCTGCCAATCTCGGGTCTAATTCAAATTTAAATGTGCTACTTGCACCAGCACTGTAGTTTAATTATAAAGGGTAGCCCGTGAGAAAGATTCAGCAAAGATAAATTTTCTCTACTGACATTCTTCCTGAGCTCTTGTGCGGGTGTGCCCCGTCTGTAGCTCTTATCGCTAGATGTAAATGCTTGAAAATTTTATCAAAATCATGAGCTTTTAGAAAAGTTTTATGCTATTCTACCTGACAGCATTGCAGTTCTGCAAATTAGTAAAGTACGATGCAAAGCACCATCAGGTTAGCACCAGTGTTTCACAAAGCTGAGGGCAGTTCGATGCACAAGGGAAAGGAGATGAAGTCCTTAAGAGTGTCGCTTAACCATCCTCGATCTCAAATTCATGCTCACCTCTTCATCCGTATTTACGCATCTGCCCCTCAAATGTATGAGAAGTATTTTAGCTTCCTGGGAAGGACTCGGGAATGGTTGATGTCGGCGATCATCCTCTTGTGTGAACAGGATTGCTAAGTATCCTGAGGGGCATACCGTTTATGTTTGGGCAAAGATTTTGCACTGCCACCAAGAATGTCCTCTGAGGGCATATGGTTGGCAGCTGTTCCTTATTCCTTTGGGCAGGAGAACCATGGGTGGAATGTCAGGATTGGGACTCCTGTCTTAGGAGTTTGAATTAAGATTTTACCAGCTGTCTCAGAACCTCTAGGCCTGTTCCCCATTCAAAAAGGGGATACTATTAGCAATGAAGTACATGGCCATGTAATGCAGTGCCTAAGCAGATTGTAACCGGAAGATGAACTGAAATCAGTTGAAACAGGTATTTTAGGTCTTCTCAGTCTGTAGGCTGCGAAAATTTTTTTTTTTTTTGCTGGGACTATCAGGCTAGTCTTAGGAAATCTACAGGTTTGTTAGTTACCATAAAGTTGCAACAGATGGCACTCAAATCCCAGTCCAGAAAATAGCACAATGCCATGGAACAAACTTTTAACTAGTTATAAATTTGGAGGGTTAAAAGCGACCAGGGTAGGTAAGTCAAATAGGGTGGATAGATTAGTTGTTCAATAACTGAAAGCATTCTGTATTGTGTTAGGAATACTTTTGAATTTTGCTAGTGACATACAAGGTAGCTAGAATGTTTCCCCGTGATTGCCATAGCGTTTGGTCCAGGCTTCATTCAGGATGTGTTGTGAATGGCCCTGCTCCAGTCTAAGTTTTTAGAATTCCTTTACCTCTTGGCCCTTGATTTCCTCCCTTGACAAAGGCTATAGAGATTCAATGCATGAAGATTTCTTGTCAGCCTTTGGGAAAAAGAATCTGGGCTTAAAATTATGTAAATAGAAAATGCCTCATGATGAGTGTAATGATGGGTATTTTTATGTCAAATGTGGGCACAATATAATTCATATACCACTGATTAATTATAAGGAGTTCACAATCCAAATAAATGTATAAAACAGCCTTCTTGCACAATCAATATATACAATAATCTCAGTGCTGAGAAATAGGCAGAACAGAATAAATAAATATGGTTCAAATGAGAATAAAAACTCCAGTAAAACGAATTTGGGGAGGTGACGATGCTAATTAAAGAATATCTACTACACTGAGGTATCTAACTTCACAAATTCTCAAGCAGCAGAGGGGTACACAGACTTCACGACACAGCAAATCACACGGACCCCAGCGCCATCAGCTGGCATTTCAGCTGAGTACTGATGTGGAGGTTGAAAATTTTCCAACAGATTCTTTAAACACTTTTCTCCTGAGGTTTCTATGAATTACAATTTGGTGACATTTTTTATCCAAGGTATAAAGGCTGAAACTTTGGTGTAAACGCCAGGCGAGTCCTTGACTGCACAGCCGTAACCCCAGGAGGTCACCCCATATACAACCCAGGTCCCTCCGGGCCGCTCACACATGAGGGGTCCTCCGCTGTCCCCCTGGCAGCTGTCCACACGTCTGTGTTCATGGAGACTTCCAGCACAGAGCATCCTTCCTGTGAACCGACCCTTGTAGCGTTTTTCACAAAACCTCTTGGGGAGTAAGGGGATGGCTGCTTGTTGGAGAGTTCTGGAATACGCTCGTCCTGCTCAGACAAAATAATGTGAATTAGGTCCCAGCCAAAGGTCCTGCAGAGCAGAGCTACACTTAACGGTCTAAGGAACACTTAATAGTCTAAGAGAAACGCTAGCCCTGCTGTGACATTCGTGCTGTTTAAAAACCCGTTCCGCACTTGCAGCTGCAGTGTTTATCGCGAAGAAATTTGTGGATCGCTGTCCTAACCTCACCCCCAAAGTCTGCCACGACACGTCTTGGTTTTATTATTTTCACATCACTCTAGTATATCGGTAGTCTTCGGAAACAACATTCTATTTATAGCATTTTGCTTTTAGTAGTGGTATTTACATTTGCAAAGTACAGTAATTCTCGATTGCTTAAAATGCCAAATCCTATATGTTCTGCTTTGTATTCTGCGCTTTGAAATTTACCACATAAAAAATTATTAAATACTGATCATACACGTTTCTGCCACATTAGGATTAGAGACAAGTTCTGTTTAGAAATAACAAGAATAGTTTTTATATTTTATTTTTACATTGAAACCAGTCAGATCTGCTTTGGCCTCAGAGTACGTTTACGTAAAATTAACGCTGGCAGCGAGCTGCGTGTTTTTTCCCTAAACGGGAAATGGGTTCAATGAGTCACTATAAACAGAAAATGTCATTTCGTGCCTCTTTTAGTGACACAAGCATCTCACACTTAGCAGAATTTCCAAACAGCTCGGTCTGAATCCGTTAAGATTTATGACCGCTGGACACGGAGTGTGCGGGCACCCCCAGACCCCAGCCAGAGGGTGCCGGCCCCGCCGTCTCCCGCAGCTCTCCCTTTACTGTCCCTGTCCCCCGCGGCTCTCTTTACCTGTGTCTCCCCAGCCGGTGATGTAACAGTTGGAGGCCGTCCTCTGCGGCCTCTCCCTCGGGAGCGGCAAGCAGGCCGGCCGGACGTGGCTGCCCAAGCTGGCGCAATGCTCCTGCCCGCGCAGCCTGACCAGGGCGATGTCGTAGTCGCTGCCGTCCAGGCGGTACTCCGGGTGCACGACGATCTGCTGGACCCCGAGCTCCTCCTCGAACTCCTCCGGCACCAGCGTGTGGTGATCCCCGACGCGGATGGCGTAGCTCCGCGGCCCGGTGCCGAACCTGGGGGGCAAGGGCCATCAGGCGCGCTCCCCACGGGTCCCCACGGGTGCCCACGCCACACCCACACACCGCGGGCCCTGCTCCCGGGCCACACGCCCCTTCTGTAAGTGTGGCCTCTCCTTCCAGTCTGGCCCACGGCCACCCTCCACCCCCTGGACCTCAGCCCTTTGACCTGCCCAGTGCTTTCCCTCAACCCCACTCTGCTCGTGGCTTCCCTCCCTCTTGCAAAATCTCTCAATGCTGCTTTGCTCTCATCCGCCCAAACGCCGACTCTGGTTTCATCAGGTCACCCACCACCTGCTCGGTGCGAGCATCTGACAGCTAAAAGGGAAAAACTACACTAAACAGCTCTCGTCTTCATTCCCCCCACCCGATCCAACTTGAAAGTCTCCGGCTGGACACCACACCTGCACTCGAACGTGTATTTAGAGAAGCTGGGTCTTCTAGTGACTGCCTATTTAACCGTCACCTCCCCCTCACTCCCGTACACGCCTGCAAGTTACAAGTCGCTCACACATTCCCACAGCCCGAAGTAGGGCTCCGACAACTGCAGTACGAGTAGCTTTCTTAACTATGGCAGCTCAGAAATGAAACGACGCAACAAAGGTGTTTAGCTTATACAGCCACCTACTATTGGTCTATAATGGAATAATTCCCTGCGATGCTTTGAGTTCTCGATTTCCAGCCTTAACTCATCACGTATGTTTACCATTCAGAGAGCTTTTTACATATTGTCCCTAGAGAATACCCTTTTACGGGTTCCACTTCAACACTGAAGTAAAGTTTAGGATTATTTCACATCCTAAAACTGTAGAAAGTAAGAGTCATGGACAACAATCAGAAATTTAAATAATTCTCATTTCCACTTTCTGTATACTGATGTTTTAAAAATTGAATATGCCTAATTAATATACTCAGGTTTTAAAGTGAAACCCTAAGTGATTGATTACTTTTCTAACATGAATAATTGTGACTGCTTCCTGGGAAGTGCTGCTGAACTGAACTGTTTCATACTATGTTTGGAATAGAATTTTCAAAATTATCTCGAGCTTCACTGTGCAATGCAGCAGCCACTATGGCTACTGGAGCCCTGGAAACGTGGTGAGTCTGGACCGAGGTGCGCTAAAAGTATAAACTAGGCTCAGGGCTCTGAGCACTTGCTATGAAAAATTACTGAGCATATCGTCTCTATGTAATAAGAAAAGTATCTCGATGTTTACGTATTTTGTAATGATAATATTTTGGGTCATCTATTGAGTTGTATGCGATGAAAATGAATTTCACCTTTTTGATTTTTTTATCTTTTATTGTGGCTCCTAGAAAATTTAAAGTTATGTCTATGACTTGCATTTGTGGCTCATTACATTTCTACTAGAGAGCAGCGGTCTAGAGAAATAGGTTGTCGTAAACTAGACATTCCATTTTATGATATATCTTTAATGCAGTCACTAATGTTGCTTATAACTTTTAAGCTTGAGTTATGAGACATTCTCTTCACATGTCAACTTTTTATATCCTTTAAGATCATTACAGTACTGATCAACCTAAAAAGTAAAGGTCTCATTGCAACAATATTTTTCATTCTTTGAAAAAGAGCTGTGACTCTTAACTATAACCTTTGCATCTAAACTGCTGTATAAATATATCTACACTATCTAAAAACTGAGTCTTCGCCCAATAAACAAAGACACAGGACATTACAACAACAAGGAGATTTATTTTTACAATATCCCAGTGTTAAAGTCTTGGGCAATCTTGCCTTCATGTATCACTTCATGCCTGGCCCACGGCAACAGTCTGCTAAATGACCTTGTTGCTTCAAGTTCTAACTTAAGGATCCATGTTCACGTTTAACTTTAACGATCCATCCCTCGCACTGCAGCCAGGCTGATGTTTCTGATAATATAACCACTCTTGTGAACACCCTTAAAGGGGTCCCTACTGTCTATGTAACAAAATTCGGGTTCCTCAAATGACATACATGCCCATCCCCAAACAGCCTTTGTCCCCTCTCTGGTACCAGCGTGGTCTCTCCGCCCCTGTCATGTTAGTGTTTCTCAAACCTGTCTCTATTCAAACTATTTACAACATCATTACCCTTTCCCTCATCCTCATGGCAAAAACTGATTTTATCTTTCAAGTCTCGAGTTGAGAATGTCCTAGATGCTCTCCCTGCCCTGCCCGAGAGCTGGCTGGCCCTCCAAACGCTCCCGGTGGCATTGTCACAGCATTTATAATGGGTTCCAGGTGTTAAGATGTCGGATCTCCCGGGAAAGGCTCCGCGAGCGTAAGGACCACATCATGCTCACTTTTGTATCCTTAGCACCAAAGTGCCTGACATAGAGCAAGCTCTTGAGAAATGTGAGTTAGATGACTCCCTTTGAAAGACATCCACACCCATATGCATATGCTCCCCTCCCCAACTTAGTGAAATCAAAGAGACATCTCATCAACTCCCATATTATAACAAGACCATCGCTAAAGTTTCTATGTCCTAACATATATATCTCTCTCTCCACAGAAATCTAATGTTCTTGTTTTTGCTAGCTATTCATCAGAATCACCCATACCACTTTAAAAATACAAATGTCAAAGCCACACACACTCTGAGAATATTAAATTAACAGGGCTGATTCACGGGCAGGTTTGAGAACCAACGAAGCAAAGACAAAGCCCGGGTGTGAGCCCTGCCCTGGGTGCCTGGACCCTCGCCGGGGGAAGCGGGCAGCCTACCAGATTACTAACAGATACCGAAACGCGGCAGCACGCACGGTCCAGACATGTGTCGTGTTCTCGAACCGAGAAGATTTTGGCAGGTTATTTTCGAGTTTACCCCCAAATTAGTATACGAACCAACCAGGAGTTGATATTAAACTGAGAACAAAAGTAAAATATTTAGCTGACGAGGAGGAAAAAAGCTCCATTCTTGTCAAATTTAATTCTGTATTCCTACGCTAATGTCCTGAATTAAGGAACTGGACCGGCTAAACCTCAGCGGTGATCCCTACATCCCCGTCACTCCAAGTATTCTTACACCGGGCCTACGCTTGCAATTTGAAGAGCACCCCACACGGCACTGGCTTAGTCTGCTAAGCAAATATTCGTCTTCCAGTGTCGCTCCTAGTGGCTGGGGTTACACACGTCAGGGACAACACTGGCTGAGGTCCCAGTATGACTGGACTTTGAAATCAATTACTATGGTTTGAGGCTTTTCAAGAAAACGTATCAAGGAATCCCCTTCTGCAACATATTTGAGCTTTTATTATCTTGATAGACTTTATTACATTCAAAAACGTTTCTAAAATAGACATTTCAGGTTTAGTCTGACACACCATTTAGTTGTTTGCTTTGCTGAAATGCCTTCAACTCCCTCTCAAATAAATAAAACTTGGATGAGATTCTCAGAGAAGTGTGAGCAAGATAACACAGCGGTTTAGTAAAATCCAATATCCTAATTCCTCTGAGATTTGAGTTAAACAACAATAAAAAACCACTAGGGTTAAAAATAGCAGAGTTAAGTTCAGGGTCATATTCTTTGTGTGTTCTCTACATATTCACCTCTTCAATGAGCAGTAATTCACATCGGCTTGTGCGCATCTGCTACAATTAGAGTCTGTTATTCTCTGTCAGGATGAAACTCCAGAACTGGCCGGCTGAAGCTGCTTGGATAGATGGTTCCCGCTGCTTAGAGAGAAGCGGCCTCCTCTGTTGACCCCTGCACTGTCCCTTGTAGTGTATGTTTGGGAAGTGGTTTTCCACGATCGATGGTAATACGTAATTAGCAAAGACCGTGTTCTAAGAACTCTACCACACACTAGGTCGTGGAACACAGGTTAAGCCTGACATAATGTGTTCTTTAAAAGTCGAGTCCCATTACCTCTGTGAGTCATCTCTCCAATGACAAAGATCTAGACATTTCTGACTTTCAGGGCAACAATCTCTGACAATTTCTAGCTGCTACGGTCTTTCTAGGCAGAAAGTCAGAGTTAAAATCAGGGAAAGCTATATTCTTGATCTAATCGAGTTTGCAGTAGAATTACAGAAATAAGACAGTCTTTGTTTAGGTGTGTCCTTTCCTCCGAAAAGGTGTTTGTTGTCAGAATAAGCCATTAAAGGAAATTAATTTCATATTCAGGATTTTTTTCCCGTAATTACATTGCCCGTTGCACTGCCATAGAGAGAGGGGCATTTCAAGGTACTTGTAATTGTGATTTACAGAAGAAAACAGCAAAAACAAGCAATTTATGTTGTGTAAGATTCACAGGAAAACTATTAAAAAAACTTAATTTATCCGAATTTCCACTTCAAACTGCAACGGGATGTTGCATTCCAAAATCTGTATTGCATTAACACTAGAAACAACGTGAAAAGCTTCACCGGCTGCCTCAGTTCCTGTGTTGTGTGCACACGAGAGGGTTTGGGGCCCTCACAGCCCGTGGAAGCTCAGAACGAAGGAGAGCTGCATCACTAGACCTCCGCCGCCTTCCAGCAAGTTCCCTGTCACGTAAGGAGTCCACCCCATACGGAGGAGTGTAACAGGATGTGCGTCTGAGTTATGCCTTCTGGGCCGGCAGTCCTAGATTATTCTGATTGGAGGATTATATAAAAGAGCAGCTACCCTAACATAAAAAGCTGTCGTCCACGGCATCGAATAACGCGACGGCATGATCTACGCCTGACTGTTCAGAACAAGCAGCTCCAGAGCACTGGCCTGTGCCGTCACCACTGTGAGCAGGAGGCCGACGAACAAGGAACCCTCATGTCCACGGAAGCCCTGCGCACGGCAGGGGACACACAGACAGGTATGGGGCGAGAGAGCTCCTTCCAAAATCCGAAATCTAGGCCCCAGCAGTCGGCCTGAAGTTAGACTTCCCAGAGATCTAGACAGGGGGTGAACTCAGAACCGGACACGCGGTCTCTGCACCACCGGCTCTACAGTTCCAGGGGAGAGCTGCCTAGGTGGGCAAGTTTCAGAGTTTCTGATGATGAAAGGATTGTTCTAATCCAAAGTCCCTGAACCAGAAGAACAAAATCTGTAACTTGTTCTAATCACTGGTAACTGTTCTTGTGCCTTTTAATGAACTTACTGCAGTAAAGATGTGACTTGTAGCCTCTTTAGGCATTAAAAACAGGAAGCCAATGAAATCCGGTAAAGGTTACGGACCAAGTCAGATGGATATATGACAGATGTGCAAAGCCATTTTCTCCCTACTCACATCCAGAGTCTCACATTACATCCAAGCATATGAAAATGCAGCATATCATAAACCAGCCCTCTGCTTTTTAATCAACTGCCTTTACCTTCTGCTGTGCATATCATGGGAAGAAATTCCGAATAAGGAAGCAGTTGTCTGTTGATCTAGGTTTAAAATACCAGCGTCCTCTAAGAAATCAACATCCTTAAACATATCCGCCACCTGGCAGCTGGGACCCGGCTTTCGTCACGCAGCGGTCATCCAGGAGCATCCGCCATGTGCCACGTCATATGCTAGACACTCGGTTTACAAACACAGAGGAGGTGATTACTAACTTTGGGCTCTAATCTAGAGGGAGGAGGCCAAGGGAGGGACAGTGGCATGTAAACGAACAAAAACAAACACGTGCCTAAAAATCAAAAGACCTTCCAGGAAACCCAAAAGTCAGATCAAAGTTTCCAGCCTCCGGTGGAATTCTGGGACGATTTCCTTCCTTTAATACTTTCAGCTTGGAACCGCGGAGTCCATCACTTTTAGCGGAGACTTGAGACAGGGAGTCTTGAACAAGAGGAGGACAAGCTACACGGAAGCCGCTGAAGCCCGAGCTGCAGGACAGGCTTCCCCATGTTCCCCGCAGTGTTCCGCCTTATTCTCCACCAGGCAGTGGAGGAAAATCGTCCGGATTCCGTTTTTGCTAATAATCTTTGGTTCCTTTTCTTTCTTTCTTTCTTTTTTTTTTTTTTTTCACCAGGCAGTGGAGGAAAATCGTCCGGATTCCCTGTTTTTGCTAATAATCCTTGGTTCCTTTTTTTTTTTTTTTTTTTGAGCCTCAGCATCATAAAAGCCAGTGCTTATCTTGAATTTTACAGTTTATAAGATACACATACTTGGCTGATTTTCCGTCTCTCACAGCGGAATGTCCCTGCCTTCATTTCGCAGGTGAGAACCCTGAGGCTCCCAGGGCGAAACGACTTCCACGAAGCTGGACAATTCACCGCTGGAGGAGCTGACCTGCCAGCCCGGTCTCGGCGGCCAGAGCCACGTCTCTGTCACACGGCACCACGCTGCACTGCGTTCTGTCCTAGCGCGTCCCTCTGTCCTGTCCTCACACCTTCTGTCTCTGTTACGACCGACCGATAACCTGTCCCCTCCCGTTCCTTCCCCAGAGGGTCTTAACCACTTGGTAGCATGTGCCAATTTGAGTCACACCAGATAAAGGCTTATTAGCACACGTGCCGAGGTTTTCCAAATGATGCGAAGCTCTTTCACAGATGCTGTGATTAACCCCTTTGTGCAGCCGCTCAGATCTACCCCGCACGTCTCCAAATGACGCATCTCCTAAAACTCCTCTTTAATCATATTTCAAGGCTCAAAAACCTTGAAGGGTTTCCCACCGCCTAGCGACCCCGGCATTCCAGGCCCTTCTTCCCGCTTTCCTCTGGGTCCGCACGCTCCAGGCCCACTCTGCTGACCGTCCCCGACCACGCCATCGACATCACCCCAGGCGCACGCGAGCCCCTCTGCCTGAGCAGACTCCATGCGACAACCACTCCCTGCCACACGCGCCTCCGAACGGTCCTAGGGTCAAAGAGATAAACCACAAAACTCTTGCTTATGTAAGAACAAAAACGCTTCCCCGTCGACATCTGTCGGCTTTGAAGCAAGGCGTGCCGGGCCGAACCTGACCCCGCGCCAGCTCCCGCTCCTGCTCGCCTTCCTCGGTGCACCGCGTTACCTCTTCGCGGTGTGGCGCCCAGACGTGAGCACGGGGCTCTGTGACAGTGACGCCGCTCGAGCACTGTTTCCTGCAACCAGAGGCAGCATTTGGCTCCCCTATTTCCATATGGCTTGTTGGAGTCGGCCTGTTAAGACCTTTCGCCATCCCGGAGCCTACCTTCCCATGTGCTGGCGCCCCTCCCGGCCTCCTGGCGCCCAAGACAGAATGGGCTCAGCATCGGAGTCCTTTCCAGTGGAGGGATTCACATGTCGACAAAGCAAGGATAAGCGACCTGTCAACCCCATGCTCCTCCTCCTCCCTCCAACGCCCAGACCACAGTCTGCTCTGCGCACGGAGCAGGTGTGTCTTCACCTTCAGTTACACATAGTAGGGATGCACATTCGCGGGTCTCAGCTCCAGCGACTCAGCAGGTCTGGAGTAAAGGCAGGAATCTGGGGTTCTAACCAGCTGAAATGCATCTAATGCTGGGGCAAAAAGAACACCCTTTAAAAGGGTGCCCGAACTCTTCTTCAATCAGCAATATGAACGTCTCCCCCTCCCGGGATCCTGTAGCCACGCTGAAAACTCCTGTGAAAGCAAAGGCCCGGTCTGCCACGTTCTCCGGGGTAGCTCCTCTGCACGGCACGTGCCTGGGAGGATTGGGGGCTCGATAATTTTTTGCTACGTTAACGAATAAATATGATTTTTACTGTCTGTGCCACTCGAATGTATTAAACCCACTGGCATCTCAGTGGGCTCTCAAAGCTACGTAATACAGATCTGTGTGTTCTGCAGCACCTTGAACACGGACGATTACTCCACAAATACTGAAATGAATAAAAGGAAGTGAATAGAGGTCTTAGAAATAAAGATATGTGAGAACTGGGCATATGGCATATGACAGTGGGTAAAGAATGAAAAGTTTAACAAAAAGTGCTGGGAAACTAAATATAAAATAAAGAAAAGTATAAAATCTGGTGACTTCATACCCTATATCTTACACAAAAACACTGTAAATGGACCAAAAATCTAAACATGAAAAAAACTGTCAATTTTTTAGTAAAAAAAATAAG